TGTACTACATTAAGGGCCGGGTTTTTTTTATGCGCCCAGAGTAAAGAAGCAGACAGGCAGCTCATGTAAGTCTATGGAGACGCATGAGCTGTGCGCCCTCAAAAACTGCTTCCTGCTGATTCATGTATTGACAGCCACAGTGTACAGCCTCTGATGCAGACATTATGGATCCAGTTCTGTCTGTGCACTATGTACAGTCTCAGGCATGATGGATCCAGGTCCATACACCATTTGCGTGTGGCTGTCAAAACTCAAAGCTGCAAGAATCAGTGTGTGAGGACGTGCAGCTCCGGCATCTCTGTAGACTTACATAAGCTGCCAGCATGCTTTTATACTGTTGGCGCATCAGAAAAATGGACCTTTACACTGTACCGGGCAAAATGCCCCGTATGAATGAGGCCTAAAAGATCCCAGATCTTCGTTATAGACTTTACGGCTCTAGGGCTTCTTCGGCTACGTTTACACCTAAACATCAGTGTTCCAGACATATTTTTTTTTTAATGTGCGGCAATGTGTGTTAGTCCAGCGTTTTTCCAATCATTTTGTTGTGCATTTTTCAGCTTGTGCTGGCCTTCATTTTGTTCCCCAATGTTTTTTGAAGAGGCAGGCCGGTCTCTTGTATGTATATATGTGTATTTCCTTTAAAATCTATGGGGCCAAATAAGCAGAAATCTGCAGAAAAGCGGCTCGTGATATTTTTGCGGCGTCAGGTGTATTGCTGCAGGTGACAGAATGCTCAGGTGTGAACAGGGGCCATAGAAAGCAATGGGATTCTTTGTGTTCACCGTTTTGTAGCTCTGAGCTTTGAGGCCTTGCTCACACCTAATCCTGTGTGTTCCAACATGGTTAGTGCCTGGAACGCACTGGATTGCATAAGACTCCTGGGGATAGCCCACACCAGAACGATTGGCACAGCGATGTCCGCGGTCCGGTGTGATCTCAAAAATAGTTCATGCACTATTTTTCGCAATTGCACCGGACCGCGGGCAACGCTGTGCCATGTGTTCTTGTGCAAACGATCGCACTATGGGGAGGGGACGTGGTGGTGCATTCAAGTCAATGGCGCCGCAGCCACACCTCCCAGCCCACAGAACGCAGGAAGGCTTGCTCTATACGATCCAGTGCATTTCAGCCACTAACCGTGCTGCAACACACTGGATTAAGTGTGCGCTACAAAACACCAAGGTGTGAACAGGGGCTTTCCTTTTTTATTTTTTTTTTACAAAAAGGAGTCATACTTGTCCTGCTGACAGCACTCAGCACTGTCATGTAAAATAAAGGCAATAACATTGAAAAATGCACACATATACACGCACACCTACCACTCTTTCAATATATGTATGCTATCCCCAGGTTGTCAGTAGGGCACACTTCTATTATACGAGTAGAACAAGTAGTCACCACCTTCTACAAATACCAGTGGGCTCTCCACCCTCTGATATTCATGAGTAGGCAAGCAGTTTCAGCTATGCAGAACAGCATTTTACACATTACTTTGCAATGTTTTCTTTTCTTGCTGGTGACTAGTTTTCTTCCTCACATCTAACTGGTTTGACCTAAAAGTGACAAACATATTGCAGCAATAAACCACACCTGTGCTCTTACTGCAGACTTCTCTATAGGAAACTGTTAGTGCTTTCCTCTACATTAGGCACCTTTATCATGATTTAAGGCGTTACATTACTAGTTTCAGCAGTAGTTTTATCTATGTGTAAATTGTGAATCACACTCTTCCTATCCAGTCATTTTAAGAACACTGACAGGCAGCATGGTAGTTATGCAAATGTTCAGCTATATAACACAAAATAGAAATACAACTAATAGGGGAAATAGTCGGCTTTTTAAGAAGGTAGAACAAACGGCAGCAAGGATATGCAAAATGCATGTGATCGTATCAAATTGAAACTTTCATCAGTTACAAAACTGCAAGAAAAAGTTTTTTTAAAAGTGGACTGCTGAGCAGCTGCTGTGGGTTACTCCACTGTGCACATTGTTTTTAATTAGCATTCCAGATAAAATGAGATCAGACGCCAATCTGTAATAGAATGTCCATTCTTAAATTGTTATAACAGTGCAGCCTCATCACTCAGGAAGTATATTAAGCCCATTTGCGAGGGATTAACACACCGTCCAGCGCAACACACCTACCGTACATTAACAGTGCAGGAGGTGCGTTGCCATTCATGTGAATGGCACCCCAAACACACCTCCTGCCCTGTGATTAACGCATTGAACCAATGTGAATGGGCCCTTGAAGACAACATTTTTTTTCCGCCACTTTGGCTAGGGTATAGAATAGTTAAAACCCGGTTTCTTTTTTTTTTACTTTGCCATGTGTTACATTTAAGAGATTTCTCTTTGCATTCTGTCCTGTAAACACAACAGGAAATGGAGGCAAATGGCACAAAAGTAAGGTAACTCTCCTCTTAGATAGTGGTCACCAGAACAGATGTCCCCACTAAGATTTCTCCTCTGCTACTGTTCTGAGGGCAACTCAAATCTTTCAGTCCACGTGACAATAGCCACCAAGACAAATAGAGTTAATCTCCCAAGCAGTTACACATACAGCAATAAAAGCCTAACAGTGTTCTAGAGTATGCTTTCATACTCTATCCAAAACTAAAAAGGTTTTGCCCTTAGATATACTTTACAGGATATCGGTCAGGGTTCCACCCTGGCATTCTGGTTTGGCTGCCATTCTACCCACCTGTGATTCCTCCTTGTCTGAGCAGACTGTGTAACGTTGCTCACTACTCCCAGGCTCCCTCTTATGGCCAAACAGGGAGCATCATCTAAGACAGTGGTTCTCAAATCGACCCACTGCAGAAGGGCTTGCGACCCACTTTTGGGTCGCGACCCATGAGTTGAGAACCACGGATCTAACAGAGCCAACTCAAAATAGATTCCCACCTGGTTCAGGAATCTGCAGCAATGATTGGGGTCACCCCGTAGTGCTGGGGTAAGGAAGCTTAACCCAACATGCCTCAGGAGCAAAGGAAGGACCAGCGAGGTAGTGGCAGGACCTGGAGGCGAGGCATTAGCTGGGTCCAAATGAGCAAACCGCTCCATCCTACCATGTCAGGGAGAGGGTTTGGCTATCCTCTCGCAATTTGCACCTCTGGGTTCCCACCAACAAGCTGGCTCCCCGTTACGTTGGACCATATCCTATCCTTTGGTTCATTGGAAAGGCTATGATCTGGAGGAACGCTCTTGGGTGGCATCTGAAGATGTCCACCCCCCCGCTCTGTTCCGCTCCTTTCATGCTCGTTTTCCCTCTAAACCAGGTCCCTCTCTGCAGGGAGGGGATCATTGAGGGGAGGGTACTGCCAGGGTTCTACCCTGATTTAACTGGTTTGCAGCAGTCTGGCTTGGCTGCCATTCCACCCACCCATGATTCCTCCTTGTCTGAGCAGTGTAACATTGCTTACTACTCCCACTCACTGGCTCTCTCAGATGATGCTACCTGTTTGGCCATAAGAGGATGCCTGGGAGTAGTGAGCAATGTTACACAGTCTGCTCAGACAAGGAGGAATCACTGGTGGGTGGAATGGCAGCCAAGCCAGAATGCTGCAAACCAGTTAAGTCAGGGTAGAACCCTGACAATATCTAACACCAAGAAAAAAAAATGTAATATATTGTTGCTAACCAGTTCTTAGATGTGGTGGCTGCATTAGTTTTCTTTTTACGTTATTTTTCCATCTGGTGATCCTGCAAATAACATACTTCCTGTCTCTGGGTAGCTACACTCTCCCCTCCACTGTATCTCTGGAACATTACAATAAAGAATTTAAGTAGTTCTATGCAAATGTTAAAAATCAAGTGTGGTCCTTTTCCAATTGCTGAGCCCGAGATCTATTGATCAGAGAGGCACCTCATCATTTTAAAAAGATATATTAGGAAAACTCAGAATACAAAAGGGGGGAGACCAAGCACAATCTTTTACAATCTGCTTGGTCTGAACAGGCCAGACCCACGCTATGTCTTACTTTTATTGTGGTGGAACACAGGCGGGTTTTTCAGTCAGCACTTTTACTGCCAAAGATAATTTGTCCACCCAATTATCTGCTGAGGTTAAACTGCTCATAAGCTTTTATTGGCATTTGTTCAGCTCTATGAAAATAAAGACACATTGTTTATAACAGGACAAAGATGTTTAAGGCCCCTTTCACACAGGCATTCCAATCAGGTCCCTCTGGAGGATAGTCTATGGGCAGCCAGATCTAAACGGACCTGCGTCCATTTATATCCGATTACGTTCGGCTCTGGCCAGGTCCAAAGAAAAAAACCGGATCAGGAGTTCCGTTTTGATGGACCTGACCAAGTCGGATAGGGAGGTAATGACACATGCCCGTTTACATTCAATTCCCCAAAGACCAACATGGGTCTGATAATTACAGCTTTCTCCTCCTTCGCAAGATGGAGGAAAAAAATTGGACAGTCATGGATGTCACAACGGTGACATTTATCCCGATCAGCAGGGGATCTGGAACATCGATCCCCTGTGGATCAGAACTGAAGATGCCCATCTAAAAAGGGACCGAAAAGCTAACACATACGCACATAAGGGCTTACCTGGACTTTTTTCATTCTAGTAAATTGTACATTAAATACAAACTGCAAAAAAATAGGATTAATGCATACACACACACACACACATATACATATACACACACACAGAAAGTGTGGGAAGTAGGCTTTTTCCATGTGTATGTAAAGAAAAGGAGGCTTCATGCAGCCTAAGTGTTTGCCGAGTGCACTGAGGCACATCATTAACCATAAACAAATTTCCAGCCAAGCACTGCACAGGGAGATCAGACAGAAAAAAAAAACCCAAGAGAAAGCACGTGAATATGCCTCATAGTCAAATGACAGCATCATCACCAGACTATATGACATGATTTTAGCATCTCCTCACTTCACAAGGCATAGCACAAGTCTTTTTTTCTGTACATGAGATTTCTGTAGTTCTAGAAGAGAGAAAATTAACAAAAAACACTCACCTCCACTATGGATCAGGGAAGGAAAATCCCAGCTGGGCTGTAATCTGAAAGCTAGAGGTTAGTTGATGTGCCTACTCGCTCCACCTGTTTAGCACACAGACAAGCAGCCTACGTGTCACCTGCATGCACTAATGTCAGCGTGAGTAGAAGGTGTGCCTGGGGACAGTAAGCTTAGAGGAACGGCTAGCTCTACAGGTGTCAGGGTGATTCCCTTTTTCTCATAAAATCACTGGATCGTTCCTTCCAAAAATCTACTGGGGTTAAATGACAAATGATGATTATCATCTATATCAGATGTTCTAAAGTTAGGAATAAGACTAACGACTTGCGTTCAAAAAACCCAACATAGGGATTATTGACAGCTTTCCAAGTTTCAATTTACCAGGTTGGCATGTGCCCCATAAAGTAATTACATCTCCGGGACTTCTTTGTTTGTGTAATCTAGCAGCGAAAGGACCCATAGTGCAGGAAATGTTAAACATTGTAACCATGATACTTATTTTTAACTAGATACACCAATACAATTAATGTATTTGTAACGTTTTATTATTTGCAAGTATCTTGGCAACTATAGAAGAACTGTTATTTTTACTATCTCTACTCAAAATCTACTGAAATAGTGACAGTATATCTAAAGCTATTTTTGGGATTTAGGTAGAGGAGGGTTATGAACTCTATGACGTTTTCATTGCTGTGTCCTCACTAAAAAACAATTTCTTCTTGCTTTCTGTGCCAAAGACACAACAGCCTGTTTCCTGTTCTGATCTTTCCTTACATTTTGTCTTCATGACAACAGTTTACAATACAAAAAGGTGAGAATCAACAGGGTCACAGACAGCAACAACAACCTGAAGGAGGATGTAACCCTCCCTCCATTTAAAAAAGAAAAGCATGGTTTGACGGAATTTGTACCTAGTGCAGTAATCACCACACAAAGAACAAACAAACAAAAGAATTAAAAGTGACTAAATTGAGGAGTTAAAGCTTGAAAATACATTTAAGTACCTTAACCGTTAACAAAAATGTAACTTGTTTTGTGTATCAGTTAGCTGTAGACCCTCAAATCATCTCTGGATTAGTGCTGATACTGTGCTTCCTTCTGGTGGGGGGTCTACTTTTGTATCCCATGGTCCCCATGTGTGTTGGAATGTAGCCACCGCCCCGAGCTTGCTCCTGTGATGGACTACAATCTCAAGTTTAGTTTACTAATTTGTATTAAGATTGGGACACTAAACTCAAGGTACTTCAATCCATTTGTAAGATTTAACTCCTAACTGTTAACAGAAATGTAGTTTATTTTTGCATCACTGGGCTGTAGATTCTCAAATAGTCTCTGAATTGGTGCCGACACTGTCCTTCCTTCTGGAGGGTGGCTACCTTTTGTTACCCATGGTCCCACTATGCGTGTTATAAAGCAGCCACCGCTTCACTGATGGACTATAATCTCGATACAAATTAGTAAACTAAATGTAAGATTGTAGTCCATCACAGAAGTAAGGTTGGAGCTACATTTTTGCTAATAGTTAAAAAGGTACTTGAGGGCATTTTTAAGATTCAACTCCTGAGTTTAGTGTTACTTTAATATATATATTAAAGCTCCAGCCACCAGGGAGCTGGCTTCCAGGCCAATCAGGAAGCCAGCGGCGGGTAATGACTTGCTCCCCAGCTTCCCAATAGGTCGGGAAGCTGGCTCCATGCTCCCTCGTCATTTGGTCACGTCAAAAGAACCTCAGGACTGAATACTGAGAAATGGCCAGGAGAGGAAGTGAGTTTAACACCCCGGTCTTCAAGTAGTTAAGCACTTTCCGTTTTGAGCTGTCCCCGTCTGCCAATTACTCTTCTGTGGTGTCCCCTTGTCATGTGCACCCTACAGTGCAGACTACAAGTGGCAGTAATGTTCAATCATTGTCACCGTCAGGAAACTTGTCCTGAGCCAGGCAATATACCTACCAATCTATGGAAGACAGTATTTTCTAAAATATTAAACCATGGTAATTTATAAAACACAACACTACCTAAAAGTTCACGATTACTTTCATTTGCAAGAGACTGTTAAAAACCAACCAACCATTCTCTTGGTCGAAGAGACTACTGACATTACAAGAAACTGCCAGAATCTACCATTGGAAATATTATACCTTTTAAAAAGGAGGAGAACTATGGGGGTAATGGCTTTTCCCCATAGTTCTCCTAAGGGTCACGGGAGGACACAAACTAGCGTCCTCCCGTAACCTAAAGCTCAGTATACCATGAGCCACAGCTCACGGTATACTGAGACGCCGCAGCCGGGGCAGATCCCGACATTGCTGTCAAGATCCACCCAGCTGCAGGATTGACTGCTGGCTCTGCCTATCCAGAGGCAAAGCCTGCTGTGTCCGCCCCCTCCCCCGTCCGTTCCGCCAGTCAGCGCTGGAGCATCGGACAGGGGAGGGGGGGGGGAAATCACTGCAGGGAGCCGTGAGTGACAGTCACGGCTCTATGCAGGGATAGGTCAAGAAGTGAGCGAGTGACGGTATATGTTCGCTCACTTCCCAATCTACTGAGCCGACGTGTGACAGTTTAATTGTCACAGGTCGGCTCAGATTATGAGGCTGAGTGAAAATCACTCGCCTCATAATTCTCCTTTAAAGAATGCCACCGTCCTTCTACGCACATATAAGCTGTTCTGCAGACAGAATTATTTATACACTTATTTCTTGTATATATCACTTATTGCTCATTAGCCACTAATTCAGTAACTGGTATCTGTCCTTGTGTGCAAAAACACAGTAATGTACTGAAATGGAAGTAGACAGCTGCTACTGGCAAAATGGGACAATGTAATTTCTGATTTAAATCAATACCTTTACAGTGTCTATTAAATATTTCCCATTGTGCACAGTAAGGACTCTAGCTTATTCAGTGTTTAACAGCTACTGACAATAGGGTTAAAGGCCACTGTCCATACCTCAAGCTTAGGAAATGCTGGAATAGCGGATGCGTAACAACAATTGTCTTGTGCAGTATCAATCAACAGCCAACATTAGTATTTTTTTAGCTTGCAGTATATCCATTGAATTTAAACCTCATATTTTCCCACAATGGATTAGTTATGCTCATTGCTCTGCACAATGGTGATCAATTTAATGCTACACGTTCAGAGATTCAGGATTCATATGATGTGGCACAGCAGCAAACTACCAATAAAATGGTCCCTTATTATATTCTTCGCCATTTCACTGTCAGTGATGTATTTACACTGCCTGGTCACTTTTATTTATACAGTCTCATTCCCTGCCCATGGCAGCAGGAAGTAGGCATCCCCGTGCAAGCATATAAGTAAATAGGTGGATCCTCCTGGCAGCACTAAAATCATGCTGTGCAGGCAGAATACATCACCTTCTTTTGACGCAACAGTCAATAGCCAGGCCCACTTGCACATCTACATAGCATAGCCCACCTCACAGATGCTTCCAGACAGGGCTGGCATTAATAGGGCAGTTACGTCTTGCCCCCACCCTACTACTGAGAGCCAGCAGATGCGGAGGCTGGTATGCTCTATAGTTAGAACCCATCGCAAGATCCTTAAAGCAACACTGCCAGCAAAGTGGGGAGGGGGAGATAAGTTATGCAGAGGAAGTTGAACCAGAGGATTCATCATTGAAGAAGCCCATTGATGGCAGATATATTATTTGTGTATGTGTCCACTATAATGGATTTCATAGTGTAGTGAAGTTATTGCGCCGAGGTGCAGGGTGTAGTATGCAGTGAAATAGGGCGCCTGCAGCGTTGTGCCGCGAATAGTGAAATAATAAGAGTACAGAGCATCAAGCCTAACAGGATGAATTCACGATTATTGGGGTGCATGGTATATAGTGCTTATGTAAAAAGGTTTGGGATGGGAATTTCTGTGTTTTGTGGTAAAGGGTGCTGTGTGCCAAGTGTATTTGTAATGCATGCTGTGGTAAGCTTAATACGGTGTGTGGTGTAGTTTGCCAAATGTATTTGGAGTGCATTGGGGGTGTTCTGAGAGTATTGGTGTACAATTTAGTGGGGTGTATGCGGAAGAATGCCCAGTTTACTTGGGTGTGCGGTATAACAGGGAACAATGTGGAGTATGCAGAGTAAATTGGGATGCAAGTAGAGAGTGCTTTTGTGTCTGTAAGACCTCAGTTCACAGCTGGCCTCAAAAGATCCCCTGCTTTATAGCTGGCCCGAAAGACATGCCAAGTGAAGTACTATACAATGAGGGAGAGTGTGAGGTGTCATGCTTACACACTGTCTGTAAACAATCCCACATGCTTTTCATCCAGTAGGAGTATCCTCTCAATGGTGTGTCATGCTAATGCATAAGTTTTGTAACCCACCACACATGCATTTCATCCATTATAGTATCCTCTCAGGTTGATGTATAGGAGTTATTCTGCTGCTTTGAGTTGTTGTAGTGCTGCTAGCATGCAGACTATGAAAATGTGAACTCTCTAACTGCATCTCTTAAAACCATCCATGCACTGCTCACTCACAACTGACTATTCACACTTTAGACCCATCTTTATTATATATTTGCTTCGGGCTCCTCATTGTGAACCACCAAGGTACAGAATTTCTGGTTCAATGGTTTTCATTGAATATTTTAACAATGAAAGTTAAGTACATACATAAGGAAAATCTGCCAGAGGTGTAATATGTTCTATCATGGATAACATTGGGCATCCTTGCAACTTCTTCACATACAATAAGATAAGTGTACCCAGGCAAAATCGATTGGATAATAGCAATGGTGGACTCTCATAATTTCTCTTGGATATCTACAAGCACATTACAAGGGTCCTCTTTAGGTAGGATAAAATGGAAGCGAGTTGACATTACCTCCGTAGGTGCAGTACAATATGGTATAGTGCAGCTGTGCCAGCCAGAAGGAGGCCTCTGTATAAACAGGTAGGTCCTCTTTGGGACCAAAACAGAAAACAAAATCCAGAAGATTGGAGAGTGTGAGGAAAGGGAGAAAGTTAGTGGAATAAGATAATGAGAGAGGGGACAGACAGAGGGAGAAGTGTGGGCAGGAGAGTCTATGGGAAACGGACTCTGGGTGGTGTTTGGATCTGTCAGG